AATCAAATTGTGGCGCTGTTGTGCCGATAATCGAATCGTTATAGACACTAATACCAATGTGGGATGAAGGATGGATGAATGTTCAGTGTCAACCATCAGGCTAAAGCCTGATGATTTAGTAGTCTATCAGTTGACATTACAGAATCTGACTCAATGAATGACTCGTTGTTTGGCGGATCAACACCAGTATTAAGGGCGGTCTTGGACAGTGCGCCCGAATATGCTAACTTACAGTTCAGTGAAAAGCAGAGAGGCCAATAATTGTACTATCCTGTGTCCTCACACGATAAATAATCGTCAGGAACACTAAGATAACGATTTGCTTTGGCCATTTTTAAGGATTGGCCAGGCAGTCGTTTTACTTTATATGCATTTATTCAAAAACGAATGTTGCAGCCTTTTTTGAACTTATGTTTTCTATCACCCACGAGGATGACGTCAGGGCTTCTAGGTATTTTCAGTAACAAATTAGTGAGATCCCAGTGGTGAAACCTACATTTGTCATCTCTTTGATGAAAGCAGTCATTTTACACATTACGTAGACAACAAATCAGAGAACACTAACCAAGGTCAATATTGAGACCCTGATTAATTCGACGTCATCGAAGGTGATCATCACTACACTAACTGCTTGATCGTTCTCGATAAAGATGATAAAGTGTAAATAATTGCAACAAGCTCATTTTCATCATGTTATTCTACCCAACCACGTTTTTATTTCCTCATACCTGATTTATTTTTGCCTGTTCAACGATTGCTTTTTAATGGTATATTTCCACATTTGTAGACTATAAGAATTGAAGAATTGGTCTCCGTTCGGCACTACAGAAGGGTTTGAATCTACGGAGGTCAAACAAAGCAAATATACTTTTGGTATACTGCATTCATTCTGTATGGGAAATATGCAGGGGATTCCCTGCTGACAAATGTTCTATTTCTTTGTAGGCATTAACAACAAATCCATTGTTAGAGACATCTTACATAGAGACGGTTGAATATTGCCTTGAGGGGTCAAACGCATAGGGCTGTATATGAAGTCAGGCAAACTTAGAGGGTTGAAGCGGGCTTAAAATTGCTTATCAACAGATGATTTCCATCGGAACCCTGTGAGCTGTTCTATTCGATGCAAAGTTCTGCTAGGCGGTTACCTCGAGTAACATTTGGTTCTGGAAGCAATTGACCACGAAACGTCGCCGAAATAGGACTGCATATGGCTGAAGATAACGCCTTTCATTCTTTAGTCTTTTGACGATTAAAAAGACAAAAGTTCATCAGTCTGCTGCGTGCCTCCTACGTCAGCTTGGAATGGTTGGCAACGGTCCGGTAAAGGAACCCAAACACTCACAACTAACCAAACGTGCCGGTCTTACGGCAAAGGCAGTAATAGGGGTTTTAAGGGGGGGGGGCTGTGTATACGTAGATGAATGGCAAAAAATGTATAGATAATTGGCAAATTCGTTTTGTTGGGAGGAAGATTTTTAATGTGCTGTCATATAATAACCAAAAGCAAGCAAGACAATTAAAAATAAACATTAAATGTCTGCAACGATCGCTTCTCAATTTTTTTGGGCTGAGTTCATTTTAGATAATGTACCAGATCGTCTACAGCGATCGCTTCTCAATTATCTGAGTTGAGCTCATTGTAGATAATGAGCCAGTCCGTCTACAACAGACAACCCAACTTTTTTTGCTAAAACACCAAACCGCAATACACGCGTCGGACTAAAACCCGCTTAAATAAGTATTGTAGGTATTCTTTGTATGACGCAGATGCTTGAGGGCCTTCACCCGATCCTTAACGAATAGCTTATTTCGACTTTGTCCTCTAAACTGTTCTCTTTTCTGGATTCTGGATCGTTCATGTTAATTGCTAAGGCTTATCAGTGGTCGGCTTGTAGGTTAAGATAAAGCTGGCAAATACAGCTACTTTCTGTACTTGCACAAATACTTTCATACTTTTAGCAGTGTCAAGTAACGGACAATTTCATCGATTCGACACATTTGTGTGTACCAGAACGCGCCGCGTGTCATTGGTTAGATGGTTGCTGAATACGATGGTATCCTAATCGTTCTCAGAACTGAGAGAAGGCTGTAATGATTAATCGGAGACTGGTTACTGGATGTGGACTGATACGTTTGGTGGAGGAACCAGGTGATTTGTGTCATCTCGCAAATAATGCTTATTTCTGCCAGTCACGACTCCCACACTCACATCTCCGTTCCTGATGAATTTACCTTGTTATCAGAAGATGGGTAAGGACAGGGTGCTGTTCTGCCACTCGGATGGGCATGGTGGCCGCCGTCGTTCGTGTCAGTCAAACAGTGAAGTGTCCGTACGCGTGTGCAGGCATCAGTGGAGAGTTTGGTGCTACTGAACCGATCAGGATAAGTTTCGACTCCATCGTGGTTGTTTGGTTACACACAGGTCCACATTTTGTGTTTGCTGCCAAGGGAGGCCTGAATGCGGTATCATGAGACAACATTGTAGCCACCTCAGCTACGAGCCCTTACTTGGAGCCGTGAGTTTAATTACATTTGGGTCAAGTTAACCACCCAGCCCACTGTAACTTATGGAAACTAGTAAATTTGACACAGTAAAGTGACTGCCCAGCCGACTACAACGTATGAACTTACGGCTATCGATGGAGCCTCATATCTCAGGTGGCTAAAGCGTTGGCAATGCTCAAACCTCCCCTTGTTTTCTTGAATTCAAATCCCACCGATGTCGCCAAGTTTTTGACAGTTGGGGCAAAATAAACTACTCAGAATATGGTAAAAACACTCACTAAAGGATTTAATTAGCTGGCGTGAACACTTCACAAGGTCGTTCCGACATTTGTAAGTGTCCAGCTGTGTGGGACGCATCCTGTGTATTTGTCTTCGGTTAAACTGCAAATAAGAGCTGCCCCCCAGTGAGTTAAAGCGGAGAAAAAAATAAACAAATGGCGCTGAAGTGATTTTTCTATCTCGTTCATTAAGGCTAATCAAAACGCCGGCAACTGACGGCGAATATAGGCATTCCCACGCACTGTCTTAGCGGAGATGTCCACAGATGCACACAAACCGGAGGCAACCACCAGGCGTCAGGTAATGAAACCGAAAGACCCACTGCCACGGCAAGAAACGTCTGGAGTCGTTTATCGGATCCGGTGCAGTTGCAGACAAAGCAAGTCCGTCAGAAAAACCGGAAGAGTGCTCCGAACGCAAATGGCCGAACATGCTGGAGCAGTACGGAGAAATGACGCCAGCTCTCAAGTTGCGACTCATTCGGCAAGATCCGGTCACGCATTCAACTTCGACAAGGCCGAAATTCTCGCAAGAGGTGACAACCGCGTGACCCGGGAGCTACTCGGATCATGGTTTGCTGGCCCCCAGTCAATTAACAAGGGCAATGAACTTCAACTTCCATAATGGGTGATGACACTTCGTCTAAGCGGAATAATTAGCCATGCGGGGAGCGCACAGGTGAACGCTCGTTCTAACGCCAGGATCGGTGCGTCAGATGGTCGAGCAATCATCACGCCAACATCCAACGCACGTGATGAAATTGCAGCAATTAACGACGCGAATGTCGGCCATCAAACAGTCAGCATAGCAAGTGCAACGATCGCTGATGAAGGGGGGATCCGTGAATGTTCATGGGTATGCGGTAGCATGGCGACTGCAGCCTGTAAATACTGCAGCCCCTTGTGTGCACAAACCACCCGTATCTGCTTTTGCCTCTAAAGATGGGTTCGAGCAGGAATCCGAGACGTCGGGTGAATAAAGCTCTTGTCCCAGCGATCGCGTCCCCTTCTTTTTTTTCTTATTCTTCTTCACAAAATGTAGTTTTACTCCCTCACGCACCGCCTAATGATCGAGAGAAATGTTTGCATCCGGGCAGCGCGAACAATGCCCTACCCAATCTGGACAACGACCTGTGACCGTCTGCCCTACCACCTTCAAGACTGACCGCTAGTTTGCATGTAATGACGTCGACATGTTCCCGAAAATGTTAACGAATAAATAATCGCTCTCTGTCTCTCTCTTCAACAAGGTGATATTTATTGTAGACATAACATTCTTTATAACTTCCGCAAGGCACTGTGGATGCGGCCAACTGAATGATTTCTACATATCGTTAGTAACGTTATTAATGACTGCATCTCATACGCGCACATTCATGCGTATCTTCAGACGACCTCCCTGAAACAGTTAGGTGAAGGGTCACGCGTAGCCGTCGGTAGACTTTGAATCGTGTTATACGGGAACGGTAGCAACGGAAGTTTTACGGGTGGGGTAGCACGCCAGACAGGAAACTGCGCAATGCAAAAAACACAGGAGTTGTTTGGATCCCTGCCGAATGTCTTATTTTACGCCATCCTGTAGCTACGGAAATGAGCGGGTTAATTAAAAAACAAAACGCAAATTTTAAAAAATAACAGAGTTTAATTGATGGTTCGGGATCACGGGAAGTAATTGTCGTTGGCTGTTTAATAACTGCAACCGCCTTCGAATAAGTGGCAAGATAAAACGTCCTATTACACGACCCATTGTTTACCGACGGTTAAGCGGGATCCTTCAGCCTACTGTTTCCGACCTTCCTTTCCTTAATTTACAGTCATTAGGCTGCCGAGGCGAAGTATGCTATTCACTCTGGACTTAACCTACCGACCGTATCTTGAAAGTGGTGTAGTAGGGAATAAAACAAGTCGTCATGTGATTGCGGCAACCGCCAAATTGCAAACGCCCCTTGGTTTTGGTCAAAGATTCTGTGTTTGCGTAAATGAAAGCACGCGCTTGCAACAGCTAGCATCGGGGACTAACTCTCAAGCGTGATTTACGTGGATTATTGATGACATCAGAAGCTCGAGGTCCTCCAGATATTTTTCAGTACTAAACAGACAGTAATATTGTCTTGGCCACTAACGCCTTTGAAATCCGCAAGCCCTTTAACGGTTTCCCAAAGCGGAAGAATATGTTGCTAGAAGACCAATTTGAGTTTATTCAAATTTGAACAGTTAACAACGGGTGTAGTGTCGAACACAAACCAGTTCCTCCAGTCGTGCAGTCTGCAAATTAGAAAAGAAATGCGTTTTTTGAATAAATGTATTTTTGAGCATCAAGGCCACAAAAATGCTGGTTATTATACTGTGGCAGTCAACTCAATTTTGGGTTATGCCTGCATGCTTTGCTACACTAATCTCCGGCAATCAATCTGTACGCCCTCTGATCGACGGCATGACCATTAGGTTTTGCCCCAAGGTTTCTCGAACCGACGGGATCTCGCAGTATTGCGATTGTCGTAATACGGCAAGCATAAAAGATCCTTGATAGTTAGCTATGACAGCAGCAGTTTTCTAAATTCGAGGACCGCACCCGGCAGCACTACATGGCACTGTTCGAGTCTGTCAGGTAGGTACGGTTTAGGCGGAATAGTGGCCGCAGTTACATTCTTTTGAGATAAAGCGGAATAAAATGCATTTGTTGTCATCCTATCTGATGAAAGATGACCATAGTCAAGTCAGGGCGTATTAGTATTATACGGTTGTCAGCAGCAAAAGACTTTCTGCCCCATTCTTATGTGTGTTTGCCGTTTAGCTGAACTGGGCTGAAGAACATTCATGAAAGCCGTTTAAAGAGTTACATAAAATGCATAAAGCAGTTCAGTCTCCCACAGACAGCTATCACATTAGCGGTTGTTTGGCTATAAATCGCGCAGGTCTGTATGTCCGTTCGATTACCCTATTATATACAGTACTGGGCTAACTCATGAAATGTCAACCGAAATTCCAAAATGCGTTTTCGTTTCTAAAAGATTAATTAATTAGGGCTGTTAAACTAGTCAGCCTGCAGCACTATTCTATAATATTTCCGTTACCTCAGGACGCCGGTTTTCGAATGAACTTCCTTTCGGCTGCATGCAAAGACTGCACTCTGTAAAAAATAACTACTTATATAGCATGCATTTTTCTCATTGATTTTCGATACCCCTGAAAACCCAATTATATTTCATGAAAAGCATGCATACAAATATTCACTCTTTCGCCTATTCAGTAGATAAGAACATCTTCTTCGAATTTTATACTCGAAGGTAGGACATAATTCGGCTTTGAAAACTTTAAATACCGTAAAATGGCCGTTCATTAATCGTCATGTCTCTGCATTGACCAATGTGGCTCGTAAAGCTAACGAGATGGATCAAGTGCACTTCTAAATTTTATGAACCCTATATGATCCCCCTTCATTTGCGTAGAGAAATGTGTGGTTTTCCGTACGCGGAAAATATACGGCTTGTAGTTTCGAACCCCTGAATCCAAATGTAACGGTAAAGTGGCTTCAAAATTATTCAGAAAAAAAGAAAAGTTTAATAAAACCAAATTATTCTCTACCTTCGAGTATTAGATTCAACGAAGACGTAATTGTCTGTCAAATAAGTGAATGAATGAATATTTTTATACATGCTTTCCATGAAATATAATTGGACTTTTAGGGGTATCGAAAATCAATGAGAAAAATGCATGCTACATAAGACGTCATTCTTCACAGAGTGTATTTCTTGCATGCAGCTGGAAGAAAGTTCGTTGGAAAGCCGGCGTCCTGAGGTAACTGAAATATTATAGAATTATGTTGCTGGCTGACTAGGTTTACAAACCTACTGAAGTAATCTTCTCGAAACGAAAACGTATTTCGGAATTTAGGTTGACATTTCATGAGTTAGCTCACATACTGTATATGTCTATACATTCCGTCTTCTGTGAACTCGACCATCCTCGGCCATCACGCAGATCCACTCATCTGTATTTTATTTTATGTGAAAAAGGAAGCGCAGAAAGATTACTTACCATTGTTAGCGTATTACCCTCCACCACACTCTCCATCGTCATGAGCTTGTCTCCCTTGTCAACCTGCTTCAGCGTCTTGCCTTCCAGTGTTATTATTGTCTAAAGTGATGAGAAACATAGGGGTTTAAAGCGCAAACGCCATTTTTGGTTCGGTTTTGTTACAACCGGTGTCTGTTAGAATTCTGTAGGCGCTCTTTATATTCGCCCCCAGCTTCGCAAAAATAGAAGCACAAATTTGGGTGCTAATGGACTGAACTCGTGAAGCGGTAACTGAAATTCGGGAATGTAATGTGATTATATAAGTGGCGTTTGATAATAGATTAGTGCTCAGCATATTCCTGCAATGTTTTGGACACCCCAGGAGATTGTTTTTGAAATGTACGTTGTTTTGGCGGCCAGCAAAATCACAATTGGCTATACGTAGGCACCTAGATCGTATAGAATTGTTTGGGTTTATTCTTGATGCCCCTATGAAGTCAGATATATTCTGAATAAAATATGCCCAAATCAGTTTTTTACCAAGCTGGTGACAAAACATCTATTTTTGCACGCCATTCCTGGAAAAAGGATACAGTTTGCTTCAAAGTGTACAATTATGATATATTTTAAAATCTCTAGGTGCCCATTCACATAGCATTGAATCAGTCCGTTTGTTAATGCCTATTTTAAAGTATACAGCACTGTCCACATTGATTGCAATCTTTTCGACTCCTAAATGATATTTTCATAATGGCATCGAGGTATGGGGGAGTTGTCTTGCATTGAAAATGAAGAGCTTCTAGATTCGAAGGCCGACAAGTAAAAGAAACAACAGACATGGCTCGTATTTGATCGGTAATTGGAAACATTTCAGCGACAAAATCACAGACACGTGGTTTGCTACGGAAAGGGTAAAAGAAAGCATCCTTTTGAACACGTTTTCTATAAAAGCACATTTAAATCTATAAGAGTATTGATAATGAGTGAAAGATTTCACGCTACTTAAACAGCCATCTTTTCCCACGTGGAGTTTCGTCAGGCGGCCTAAAAGAGGGCCAACATCTTGCGCGACAGAAATTTCATCAAATTATGTCACACGATAATCAGGGTTACAACTCCATTCAAGAAAGCCTTACTGATCAAAAACCTATTTAAGAATTACGGTCAAAATTTCAAGAGGACGGCCACTGGGTGTACTAAACCGGCAAAGCATAGGAACAGAAAGATGCAAATCTATTTTTGTTAATTATGCTTTTGCTAAAAAAAAAAACTATACCGCCGTTTTCTTTGCGAAGTCAAGAGTCTCAGAGTCCACATCAATTCAAAGTTTGTCAGTTGAGATGTCTCTGAGTAGATAAGAATGAGCCAGGTATTCTCACAGCAGGACTTTATGAAGTTTGAATGGTTAAACGGGTGAAAGTCGATAGGCCGCGTAAAACAAAGTCATCAGCTGATGATGGGCTACTCACTCCCACGGAAATGTGTCACGTAGCACCTTCTTGTGACTGATCCGCTATTAAAAAAATTGCGATTACGTGTGAAAGCCAAGAATGGCGAAATAGAATTTTTTTCAATGTAGACAATAAAGTGCACTAAGATGGCAGCGTAGAGCATTCAACGCGCCTCTATATGTGTATTTACAGATGCCCTTTATAACGGTGTGGAATTGAAGTGCAGAATTTTAATAGAAAAGGAAATGACAGGGGTCATTTGAATGAACACGGGCTGGCACAATGTCCTTCGTTTTTAAATAATCTACATGCCAATGACCTTTCGGGTTTCACGTTAGGTTGCTCACCTGCGGGACTGTATAACACGCGCAGTTTTGGTGCGCTTAGTCGATAATTACTGAATTAGTTCATAACTTCCACCTGATAGCCTTAGTTGGGGGGTTTTGTTTCATCAAAAGTTGGCATATTCGCTCTCAAAAACAATTTCCGCTCCGTCCTTTTTCGCTGACATCCCGAGAGACAAACACACTGTTAAACATGTTTTACGATGTGTGCATTTGTCGGAAACACGTAGCTCATCTTGGAAGAATTTTGAAACATTATTTGTATCCATTTTTGGAAGTTCGATGAGGGGGATTATTAACTATAGGTTTCACTTTTAGTTATGCATGTGCTTACACGCCTCCTTTGAGGTGTAACACGTTTGGCTTGTCTGGAAAAAGTTTCAAAATTGTTGAATGACTAGTAATGTTGTATTTTGCCCTTTGGTGTATTTAAGCATTCCAACAATCAAGTTCAATTTGTAGGTTCTAATAAGCGGGTGTAAGAACTACTTTCAGTAGACGAAGAGGCGGTTTTCATCTTAAATTGCGGTATAGTTTAAAACATGGAGTAAACATGGTGGAAATGAATCGAAAGAGAACTAACTGATTCATGCATCCAATGAAGTCTCATGTACACGATGTGCCTTATGCATGACGGTCGAATATGGTAACGCATGCATTCCGACAAAGGCGATGAGAGAAATACGTTGACTATTATATTCGGTGGACATTGCTGATAAGAGTACTCTTTAAGCGCTTGTATTCTGAAGGAAACGTCATTTGATTAAATGTTGCGAAACAGCTATTTCAGAAAAACCCTCACAGCAAAATGTAATCACAGAACAAATGCTTGCCTTTAAAGGTCGGCCATCAAGTGAAGCGTGGTCGAATTCCTCGCCCAACTTGTACTTCACTTCGTACGTCATCCCGCCGGTGCTAATTTTCATGCTGTAGCCATCGCCAACAGGCGAAATTGTCATTACCGAGTTTAGCAACTCGGCTATGTCCTTCAAGGGTATGCTAACCCCTAGGCGATTGGCAATCGGCTCCAAGTCCCCACTGTCCTTCAATTTCCATGATCCACAGAAGGCTTCCATGTCGAGGGCGATTCGGTCGAGCTGGAGGACAGAACGACTTCTACTGAGGTAAGCTGCGCCACACGCATGTATATATGTCAGCAACTGAGCCGCCACCTACGATGTTTTCACGCCGATCGCCAGTGATTTTGGGCCTTGTGTTTGAAACAACTGATGTCGTGGGCCAGTGCCAAAGCAGTATGCACGAGTACGTTGCACTCATACGCGACAGATGTACTGCAATGTGGTTGTGATTAATGTTCATCACGATGCGTCAGTCCTGACCTTCATAACGAATCATTATATTCGCAGAAATATCAAAGTTAAAGTGCGTACTAGAGGTATTTCTGAAAAACATGTAATAAATCGAGACAGGCCGCGGCTATAATCACGCCCTATTATAGGTGGCCTTACATTATATTACATGGGATTATAGTTTGGATTGGCGTAGACTTAGTGTTAAAATCAGGCTTAAATTGGTAATAGTGGAATTTGTAGCCCCTGACGTTAGGAATGAAAACACAGGTAAAGTCAGTGGCCGATCTAAGAAAATGTTAACAGAAATTCTGAAATATGGTTTTGGCACGGAAAGATTACTTAAGTGTGGCTGCAAGAATAACTTTGTGCGGCATAAACCAGTAATATTTCAGACGTGCCAGGATCCTGGCTTTGTAATGCACGTTTCAGCCGCATGCAAAATCCACCGTCGACGAAAAATGGTTACCAAATTGGCAGGCACGTTTCCTATTGGTCTTCAATATCCTTATAAATTCAAAAAGAAGTTCATGGAAAATATAAACAATATGTCCTTTCTGTGCTCATTTAATATAAAATCACATCTTCAAACTGAATGCAGGGGAAAAGGTTATAGCTTAGGTAGATGTGCAAGCTTATGACATGACCAAAATCCTGAAATGAATTTTCGACTTAATAAACTACTTAAGTAGAGTTGTAATATCAATCGTTATGCAGCGTGATTCCATGATGATTCATTTATCACAAGATGCGACTTTTGGACGAACTTCTTTTCAGCCGTATGAAAACAGAACATTCTGTAAAACATGATTATTAAAACAGTATGAATTATCTTCATTGAATTCGTACACGCTTATAAATGAAAATATATTTAAAAGGAAAAATGTGTGAGAGCAGACATCTTTTAACTTACACGGTAACGTAATACATCATTTTCGAATTTCATACTTAAGGGAATGGTGCAGTTCGATTTCAAAAAACTTCCCAATTCCCGAATAATTTTGCGCCTGACCTATCGTTAGACCTGATTCAGTGTCTCCAAACTAGAAGCTGTATATTTTCTGTGTAGGGAAAATCGTATAGATTTTTACGGTATTAAGGGGAGATTATGCTGGGTTCATAAACTTTCGCAGTGAATTTCAGCCATAATGCAAACCGTACAAGCAACATGAATAAACGCAAATACGTGCTGTTTTATAAATGAGTAGTTTGCGGTCGTAAAACGTCTCATAATTAGAAATTTTTTGAAAACCAAATTATACAATTCCTTTGGGTATAAATTCAAAAATGAAGAATGAATATTTTCTTGCATTTTGTCTATGAAATATACTCGAATATATAGGCATCTCTAAAACCAATGAAGAAGTTCATACTGCTTAAATGGTAGTTTTTTACAGAGTGTACGTTTTCCGGATGGCTTATAAGAATTTCACTCAAAAGCCGGCATTCTGAAGTAACTGAATTATAATGAGGTCATGCGGTGATCGTAAGCAGTATTTCGAGTCGGAAGTTGTTAACATTTCATGAGTTAGCACATGAATGGTCTTATAATTTCCTACCAGTTTGGTTTCTATGTCTCGTTGCATTTGGGTTTACGGTTATCATTCCACAAGCTTCATACCGCCCTTGTAATGAAAATAACCTATTTCTCTATGCGATTAAGATCATTTTATACAGAGCTCATGGGGGATTGCGGTTGATTTTGACTCAGGTGTATACATTTTAAGCGGCAAATGCAAGCGCAAAAGTATGATGTTGGGTGATATGAAGTTTCACAACCATCAAAATCTCACAATCCCAAATTTTTAAAACCAAATGACGACCTCTTTTGGAGTGTATGACGTAATTTGCTACCCAAAAAGAACATGAAGTAATATTTTATACATATTTAAATGACAAATACTGGAATTTGTAGGGCCATTGGAACTCAGAAAGAAACTGCATGATTCATGAGTCTTTATCTTGAATTGAGTGCGGTTTTCGAAGGCGGCCAGAAAAAAGTGCCCTTAAAAGCCGGCGTCCTGACGTGTCCTAAATATCATGGCATAACGCCGGTTGATAATGGATACTACAAAATGTAAAGTAATATATCCTAGTCGAAACCACGTTTTAGAATTCTTTGTTTAAATTCCACGGGATTGGCAACTGACACTAGGACAGATGTACTTATTGCCCTGTCCAACTAATCTCGCAAAAAACGCTGACAGTTCCAACATGATATTTTACTTTACGAATCTTTTCATTCCTGTTTCCTTTAACTTGCGTTTTAATGCTTTTACTTTATCTGATTCTAGCTATGTGGGATGATCATAATCTTCTAAGGATAGTTTTATGCTAAATTCAGAAAAAGCTAAAAATAACCGCGCCCTAATCCTGACCACAGCACAAAATGAAACCTTAACTCTAGCGCTTAATTTAACTCCGAAATTGGCCGCAACCCCAAACTATAACCAAATCTTGATTTTAACACTAACTGAAAAACATCTGAAATAGTCTAGCTCGTAAACTTTACAACACAATACCCTTCGTCCACGCAGTCGCCCCTCCTATTTACACACTTTGATTTATTTGGAGGCTCGCAAGCGGGAATATTAAAATTATATTAATATACATTACAGTTTAACTAGGTATCCTGAATTATCTAAATATCTCCTAGAAATCTTAAAAATAAACGCGCGTTTGCAAACCTCGCTTATGCATCGGACAATTTACAATACATTGGCGAGCCTACTCAAACATACATTTATTGTACACATCCCTTAGAAACCTACGCCATTTTAGCGAACAGCTTCAACTAAGTTAGAGGAGAGAATAGCTCAGCTGCGCGTCATATATACACATACAGTGAGTGACCTTTCTCATGAAATGTTGGCTGAAATTCTGAAATGCGTTTTCGATTAGGAAAGATTACTTGGTCGCGGGTGTAATACTGATTATTTTAAGACATACTCTTATAACACTTCCTAATTGCCGAATAATTTGGAGCCTGATCATTCGTTGTATTAGCGCTTAGTGATTTCACTCTACAAGGCGCATGCGTTCCGCGTAAAGAAAATCACATATTTTTCTATGGCATTAAAAAGATACTATACAGGGTCCATAAAATTTTGCAATGGATGCGGACCATGTTGTACATTTCATGAGGAGCAGTGGTAAACGGCCAGGTACGATGCTATGTGAATGGACATTTCGCGGTCTTAAGAAGTCTCATAATTAGAAACTTTTTTAAAACCTATTTATACTTCTTCCTTAAGTATAAAATATAACGAAGAAGTGATTCTATAATAATTGACTGAAAGAAAGCATATTTTTTGTGGTTTCTATAAGATATATTTGAATTTCCAAGACCATCGAAAATCAATGGGAAAAATGCATGCTAATTAAGTAGTCATTTTTACCGAGTACGCTTTCTACAGGGGAGTGAAAAGAAGTGCATTTAAAAGCCGACATCCTGCCGAGTCCAAAATGTTATAAGAGTATGCCTTAAGATGATCAGTGTTACAACCGCGACCAAGCAATCCTTCCTAATGGAAAACACATTTCAGAATTTCAGCCAACATTTCATGGGATAGGTCACTCACTGTATAAGAGGCCAGGGTATTGTATATGGCCGGGGTTACTTACTGCGGGGAGCATTTGAACATCTAAAAACGCTGCAGTATCACATACTTTGATCTTCCACGTGGTCACCAACTAAAAGTGAACGCTATTTTTTCCATTTAGTGGTAATACTAAATAAATTTAATGCCCCTGTTAAGGCAGTTAGACAATTGTCGTATTTTTATTCCGATGATTACCATAAGGCATCTTGACCACCCTCACGCAAATTCCACAGCGATATTCTTTTTTATTTTTCCTCTGGCATGTACGGGTTAATATCGCTGATCATCTTCTTTTACCGCAAGTGCTCTTCCGAGCAAATAACTCAGGCCACAAACCCTACACTTGCCCACACAAAGCTGCTATTACACGAAGTGCGATGCCTTTATGCGAACTGGCCTGTGTTGTAGGCCAGAAGACAAGTCTCACGAAGGCTGTCGGCGACGTAAGAGGCCACATTGACTAAACAATACGAGGAGTATCGCGTTAGTCATCTGGAGGCAACTGGCGCACCCGAAAACGGAGGAAAAAGCACTGGAGTCGCAGAGTGCATAGTTCCCTTCGAGTGACACAGCGCCTTACGTTTGGGTGTACTGAAAGCACACTTTTAACCTTGACAGTACTTCACGTTCGGTGACAGCGTTCTCGCGCACCTGGTTTGCGATCCAGGCCCCCCTGTTCCTTATGAAACTGGTGCCAAGTGCCCTGAGATATAGTGCATTCCTCTTCAGTTAGTTTGATAAATGCAAAATTGTTAATGTCATTTACGCGCGGACTTGTTGGATATGATTTCACACGCCCTTTTGTTTGTCCTAACATCTCACCAGGGGACCTTGTCACATAACACCAGGGCAACCATCTTAGCGGCAGAGCTCAACATATTCAACTCTGGAAAGTTTGCAATATATTTCGTATCCCCTAGCATCCAAAAATCGGCGGGATGGTAGTTGGTAGCCCTGCCAGTTAGCGATCCTTTCCTGCACTTCCAGTCTAAGGCACTACGATTTCAGTAGCTGTGATTACGTTCTCAATATGTCTGGGAGTGCACGCGCAGAAGCCCTGTCAGGGTGACTTTCTTGTTCACCTTAACCGCCCCGAGAACTAGGCGCTGCAAAAATGCCTATATAGATTCATCGCATTCCACCCCCCACACGTAAAGCTTTAGT